TGAAACATCTTCAAGTAACTTAAAGAAGTCCAGACGCTTTTCTTTGCAAGCTCCTTTGACTACGATGACCTGGATGACTGAGAACCTTCACAGACATATCACATTAGAATATCGCAAAGGCAATTTTCATTTATTTTGTACCTTTATAGGAAAAAGTATGACGTCAATTGTATGATACACAAAAACTGGAAATATGTGTGAGTGACCTGTGAGACCATATTGCAGTATGTAAGCAGCATTCTTAATTATTGATTTCACTGTGGTATTATCTAACAGGTGCTTCCAAAATATAACAAATATTGATGCCTTTATGTAAATTAATGATTTAGTATTGCCATCTTGATATTAACCAACTAAATGTCACTGAAAGACACATGAGCAGCCAACAACCAACAGAAAAGCAGAAACCTTTGGTTTTACAGAGGTTTTAATTGAAATGGATCAGTCAAACATATCTTACTGTTAGTAAAAACATCTAACAGTCAAAAGTACGCTATCAAAACAAGTGCTGAGAAACAAGTGCTTTAACTATGGCAGGAGACTCTTTAAAGGCTGGATGTGAAGGATTTTTCTTTCAGGCACTTCAGAAAGTCAACACTGTGCGGATACTGCAATGAGAAGGGGGAAAAAAGAAAGTTAGGCTAAGGATGCAAGGCACTGCAGTTCAACAACAAAATACATTCACTACAAAGCCACTTCTATAAATTGAATTCTAATGTGCACTGTTTTTCCACACCTCTTTCCAGCATGCATGAGGTCAAATCCCTCATTGATCTTCTCAAAGGGCAGTGTGTGGGTTACAAACTCATCCACCTTCAGCTTCTTACTCATGTAATCTTCCACCAGTTTAGGAACACTCTCCACACTCTTCCACCCTGAGGGTGAACAACAAAACCAGTTTTACAACTGCGAACATCAGTAAGGCATGACAGAACCAGTTTACTGAAATTGTTGAGGCAAAGCACCAATTACCCAGATAAAATAGATAAATAATATGTCTTAATACAACTAAAAGAAGCTACAAAACTTAACATGCTGAATCTATGGGTTTAAAAACAGCATATGCATTCCAATTTTCACATTAGCCAACAACAATAAGGCTCATAAAATACCATTATAGATTATGTTTTCATTGCAAAACAATGTGTCCTATCTGGTTATGCTTATAAAAAAATATGCAAAATAAAGGAGAAAGCTGCAGCCAGACAATATTAAGCACTTTAAAATAAATTCTTTAACTCAGGCCGTTACCTCCAAAGGCTGTGCCTCTCCACACACGACCTGTCACCAGCTGGAATGGTCTGGTGGAGATCTCCTGTCCAGCTCCAGCTACACCAATGATGACACTTTCACCCCAACCTTTGTGGCATGCCTCCAGAGCAGCTCTCTGACACACAAAAAACCCAAACAACAATAAATAAATGTTTGTTTTTTCTAAACTTACCTTGTACACTACTTACAAAGTCACACCACAGTGCTATAATACTGGGCCTGAGTCTCACCATAATTTGCACATTTCCAATGCACTCAAATGAGTAGTCCACACCCCCATCAGTCATCTCCACCAGAACCTCCTGGATTGGCTTGCTGTGGTCCTTTGGGTTTACAAATTCAGTGGCTCCAAACTCCTTGCCTTTTTCAAACTTATCAGGGTTGATGTCCACACCGATGATCCTGGTTGCTCCAGCAGCCTTGCAGCCCATTACAACGGCCAAGCCCACAGCTCCAAGGCCAAACACAGCACACGTGGAACCAGGTTCAACCTGAGTGAGCATGAGGTAGAATACAAATGTGAAAGTTTAAGTGTTGCGCCTACATGATAAATAACCATATAAACACAATAATCCAAGTATGAACTCTAAAATAGATTTGGCTTACGTATTGCTGTTCTTATCTTTTTTAAGTGTGTGTGTGTGTGTGTAAAAAAAAAAAAACACACAATAATTGAAACATGGATCTTAACTGTTGGCTCCTAGATTATTCTTTCTGTAAAGACCTGAATACATAATTTAAAATTGAAGGACCTGCTAGCACATCAAAAACTATTTGTGTGAAACTGCAAATTAAGAAAAAAGAATCTATCAACTATTTTCTTATTACTCTAAAGGTGAGACTGCGACAAACATGTAAGTCTGTGAAGGTTCTCAGTCATCCAGGTCATCGTAGTCAAAGGAGCTTGCAAAGAAAAGCGTCTGGACTTCTTTAACTTAAAGAAGTCCAGACGCTTTTCTTTGCAAGCTCCTTTGACGACAAACATGTAAACATTCCAATGATATCTAATGTTTTGCACGATGTCTTTGCAGATGAGCAGCGTCATGTCATACCCACCTTGGCAGTATTAAGAGCAGCACCATATCCCGTAGAAATGCCACATCCGAGAAGGCACACTTTATCCAGCGGAGCCTTCTCGTTCACCTTGGCCAGAGAGATGTCAGCCACTACAGTGTACTCAGAAAAGGTGCTGGTCCCCATGAAGTGATACACTTGCTTTCCCTTGCAAGTAAATCGTGATGTCTTATCAGGAAGTAGACCCTGACCCTGGGTTACTCTGCAGGGTGAAGGGGGAAGGAAATGTGCAAATTAGCATGATGAAATGTGCAAAGAAAACATAATAGGTTCTGACTGAGCTTTTGTTGCCCTGTGGTGGGGCATCTTTCTTTAATGAAATTGTTATCACAAAAGTAGACTTCAGCACCTCAAGGTTACGTAAATAGACCTTCATACATTACCTAATTTTCTGGCAAAGGTTAGTCTTGGGGTTTTTGCAGAATTTGCATTCACCGCACTGAGGCACATACAACGGGATGACAGTGTCACCTTAGAAAAAGAACAAGACAAAAACAACCCACATGCAACAAATATGTATTCGTAAGTATACCAAGAAGTGAAATATTAAAGTTTTAATGTTTTGTTTGGCAGTTGTTTACCTGGCTTGAACTTGGTAACACCTTCGCCAACACTTTCAACTGTTCCAGCACCCTCGTGTCCCAAGATGACAGGGAAAAGCCCCTCGGGGTCGCTGCCACTCAGCGTGTAGGCATCTGTATGACACACGCCTGTAGCAAAGATCTGAAAGACACGGTGTCACTTAAAGTTCACGTCAGGCATGGCTGCCGGATGGAGTATAATATTAGTACTACTTCATTTAAAACATTATGTTGAATTGAACTTAAACCTTATTTATGAAAAAATAAAAAATAAAAAAAAATCACTGACTAATTTAACATGTAGTTTCAAACCTTACAACCAAAAGCCTGGGGTTGATGGGATTGAAAGAATAAAGAGCAAAAACAAATTGTTTATTTTTCTGCTTATCAAATAACACTTTCATAGGACTCTTCCTTGTTTATGCACAGCTCTCTTAAGGATGCAGTCTAGACTTTCAGTGATTGCAACAGCTTCATTCTTTTCTTTTCACCCATTCTGAAACGCCATGTCCAAATTATCACCCCTCTACCATGCTTGACAGCTGGTACGAGGTGTTGTGCATTGTGACCTAACATCTTCACTCTGTTATCACCTCTTCAAAAGGAAATTGTTCCAGACATCTTGTGCTTTATTCAGATACAAATTTGCTAACATAAGCTGTTCTGCTATGTTCCTTGTAGGGAGAAGAGGCTTTCTCCTAAAGAAATTGATACTCAGATACTTAAGGTTTCTTAAAGCCAAACACCCAGGTCTTTATGAGGAATTTTTTGAGGCTCCTATTTAAACAGCATTGAAATATGAATATAAATGTAATATATTTAATAATGGCCGTTTTACAATTGGCAATTACCCGATAGCCACATTAGCAGCCTGTTATTATTCAGGTAGCAGCTAATAAAATGATAAGGTTAATGTGGGAGTTAGGCAGCAAATGTCAGTCCTGCCCATCGGTAATGTTAATAGGCAGTGTTAATGCTATATTTTTTTTTTAAGTCTCAGAATGAAGCTGAGGTCTGTCAGCAGCTACCCTGAAACGGTGGAAGCCTACCTCTATTTGATCAACAGCAAAAACATGGTAACCAGAAGCACAGGAACTAATTATAGATGTAGGTGAATACACTTACACTTACAAGGACTAGTATTGTTCTCATCTTTATTTTATTTAAAAAAATGCCCGTTAATTTTAAAAGGTTTGGCAGTAATTTTTAAATGTTCTCCATCCTGTCAAAAGTTTTTCAGTAATGAGGTGACAAGTCTACTTTCATATTTCAATTCAATTTTATTTATACAGCGCCAAATCACAACAACAGTTGTCCAGCTTCTTTTGTACCTTCATCAGCTTTCATATTTAACATGCTAACTGAGGCCTGTAGAGCCTGAGATGTAGCCTGACCTTGGGGTGAATATGCTGGTGCATTCACTCCTGTGAAACTTCTAGCACTGTATAAATACTTCAGACAAGCAAACTGCCAAAAAAAATCTGCTTTAATAGAGGAAGCTACACTTGCTGATGATCCTTTAATTAAGTGCATTTGATTAGCAGCACCTGGCTGCTACTTATCCTCTTAATTCCTATGGGAATAGTAAATGTAGTTTTTCAAATGATTGCCTAGAGTCCTATGAAAGCTATTTATCACATGACTATAGCAACATATCTTAAAAGAATACACAAATACTGAATGAATCTAAAATGAACATAGTTTTGTTTTGTGTTTTTATTCAGTTGCAGTCAAGTCAGGCTTTAGATTTATGAAGGAGTCTGATGATCTGAGTTACCTTAATGCGAACTTCATGGGCCTTAGGTGGGGCTACCTCCACCTCTTCAATAGTAAGAGGTTTCCCTGGCTCCCAGGCAACAGCTGCCTTGCACTTGATTACCTGAAGGAAAAGGACAGTATTTTTCCATGTCAAGTGAGTAGCTGCAGCTGTGGGTTGGCTCCAGCTTTACAGTCCCTGTGGCAGATCGAGCTAGTTGCACCCAGCGTAGTTGGCCTTTGCACTCTGTCAAAGATTATGCTTCTCTAAGATTCTTCCTGATAATGTTTGCTTTAATAGTATTCAGCCTACATAACCCCCAATAGCGCCGTCGGTCTTGATGCTTTTTAAACCATGCCATCACTATTATCACTATGGCTTTTAAGTGCTGCAGCTACTTGCAAAAAACCGTTTGCCGCTGACCCACCAAAGATCCCTGTTAAGTAATCGAACAGTGATTCTTTGTACTTCATTCAGAGCAAATTAATGCGTGCATGCTAGCTTACAGAACTTGCCAGGTTTACGATAAACTTGAACTTTAAGGCAACTTTACGACTAATGCACAAACGGAAACTTTGTTTGTTTGTTTGTTTTTCATATATTTCTTACACAGTTTTTGTGAACAGTACTCACTTTACCAGCTGTCTCCATGCTCGTTGTTTCTAGAGAAGAAGACGGGCCAATGAGCAGCCGTAAAGGAGTTAACCTTCGGACCAATCAGATACGAGAACGCCTAGCGTACGCATGACGCATTTGGGGGCAATGAAGAAAATAGGACAAAAAAGGGCGCTTAAGAATTTCAAATAGTTGCAGGCTGCTGGTACTACTTCTGTCACTACTAATGATAATAATTTTAAAAATTATTTAAAAAAAATACTTGTGAATAAAACAAATTAATAAATGAAAACATGTAGGCTGCAATCTTTTATTTTTTAAACACTTTTCAGAAATAACTTCAGTCATTGCTGAATGTCATCATTGACAGTGGGGACTTTTGCTTTTTGGATGCTGGAGAATATGTTATGTTTATCTTTAAAAATTTACTGATATATTTGTACAGTTGGAATAAGTACTAACCCTGAACTTGAACATCTTAATACTTCATGTTAAACTAGACAATTGTTAACGGCGCCAGTCAACATCAATAACAAATGATGTTCTTGACCAAACATGCTTCAGGTGTCTTTAAAGAGTGAGCAGGATTACAATGCAATTTTGTGTTTTGAATTCTGTTTTTATATTTCATTTTCACTCACTTGTGGCAGTTAAGCAGCACCAGGCATGCAGCTGAAATACTGTTTCACACACATCTAACATTTAATTTGGAATAACAATTATAAGCTATCAAATTCATCACTTATCACTTATGATAGACCTGTCATACAAATATTAAAAAAAAAATACAATGCCTAAATACCAACCTTACACAGCTGACCTCCTTACCAGGCTCTAAATACACAACGTTTGACATTTCCTCACATACCGTACACACTCTGGTGTTTTCAGTCTGTATTCTGTGTTTAACCTCGTCATAGTTTCCTAATATCAGAGTTTCCTTTTTTAAAATCAGTCACTCTACTTCCAGTAGTCTTGTCTTTGTTTCTGATTGGTGAGATACTGCCAGCAGCACCTCCTTCGTGTAAATAATATTTATGATGTTAGGATAAAAAAAAGCTGGATAAGGAAATTATATCTTTGATACGTTGAAGCTTGTTTCAAAGTACAGCACACTCGTCCAAATCTGCTTTTAAGCCTCATTATAAATCTAAAAGTCAGAGTCACAAACCATTTGTTTCTGCACTATATGAATAATTACTTCATTGGTGTCGTTTTCAATTTAGCACCTTTATTATTCATTTTTCACCTTTAAAAAAAATTATTTATTAGAATTGCTTTTAGTCCTTTTTAGGCTTGCTTATTTAGGTTGGATTCATCCAGAACCCAGGGTTGATTGAATGCTGTCCAGCTGTTACTCTGTGTTACACTGAGAAACTCACAGGGTTTAGTCTGAGAAATAGATCAACACACTGTGCCCAGATACAGGAAACAAGATTCACACTGAACAAGCTGAGTTGGCTTTTGTAACATGCCAGACTCATATAAGAAAGATATAAAAATGTGACTTTCAGTTATTGTAGAAGGATCCTACTACAGTGTGGGGAAAAAAACAACTAAGAAAACTTCTTTCACCAGTTAAAAAAACCTCCAGTTAAACTAGCAGTGAGGACAAAGGGCCTCCTGAACCGCTCAGATCTGCAGCACAGTGAGAGGAGCTGTATGCCACTGCTGCTCCTCTGCCCAGTCAGGAGTCTGTGGAGAGGGTGTCTGCTGTTGTCCATTATAGCTTTCATTTTGTTCAATGTATCCCTCACAACCAAGTCTTAAGTGTCCAGCCTCCTGCCAAGCACAGAGTTGGCTTTTCCCACCAGCTGGTCCAGCCACTTGGTGTTTTGTCTGTACACAGTAGCATAAGAGAGAGCACTGGCCACCACTGTGATAATCTCATCACACACACA